AGGACAGGGAGAGAGGCAGGGACAGGGACAATGACACCGGTGGCCCAGGACAGGGCTGGGGACAAGGACAGGAGCAGGGGCAGGGCTGTCCCACCCTCGCTCCCTCTCTCACCCTCAGTGATGGCTTTGGGGACACTCCAGGGTTGTCACATCACTCTGGGGACCCCCAGCGACCCCACAATGACTTTGGTGACCCCCAAGGACCCGTCATGACTTCAGGACCCCCCAGAGCTGTCACACGGATTTGGGGACCCTCCAGGGCCCTCCCATGAACTCGTGTCCCCCCTCCCCACCGGTGTCCCCAGCAGTGTCACTCACTGGCGTAGGGGGAGGTGGCGGTGGAGCCGTTCAGGAAGCTCGGAGGGGACCCGGGGACCCCCAGCCCGGCCATGGTGGCCCCGCCGAAGCCACCGGTGGCCCCGGCAAAGCCCTGCTGGGGGGCAGAGCCCGGGGGGCCGAACCCCCGCGCCGGGGGCGTCCCGGGGCTGCGCGAGAACCCTGCGGGGACAGCGACACGGTGGCACCGCCTGAGGAGGGGACAAAGGCTCTCCGGACCCCCCTCAGCCCCGCCCCGAGGCCACCGCGCACTTTGGTCACAGCCCTGAGGGGACAGCGACACGGTGGCGGAGGGGACACAACCCCCCCGAGGCCACCGCGCACTTTTTGGGGAGACCTGAGGAGACAGGTGGCACCTCCTGGGGAGGGGACAAAAACCCTCCCGCCACCCCGAGGCCACCTCGGTCACAGCCCTGAGGGGACGGGGACAGGTGCCACCAGGCGGGGAGGTGACAACAACCTTCCCGCCACCCCGAGGCCACCTCGCACCTTGTTCGGAGCCCTGCGGGGAGTCGCCCATGGCGAGGCCGAGCTGTCCCCCGCCGAAGGAGGGGACAGTGACATGCGCGGGGGCCCTGGGGACACTGTACAGCGCCTCGGCCACATCAGCCGCCCGCTTCAGCAGCACGTCCTGGGGACACGGCGGTGGTGTCACCGAGCGAGGGTGGCACTGCTTGGTGGCACCCCTCAGTGTCACCTCGTGGTGGCATCCCACAGTGTCACCCTCCTGCATGGTGCCACCCCACAGAGACAGCCCTTGGTGGCACCCCACAGTGTCACCCACAGAGTGTCACCCCATTGTCACCCCACAGAATCACCCCAGTGTGTCACCTCACAGTGTCACCCCTCAGGGTAACTCCTTGCTGTCACCCCACAGTGTCACCCCATAGTGTCACCCCAGTGTTACCCCACAAATTAAACCCTTGGTGTCACCCCACATTGTCACCCCACAGAGGAAGCCCTTGGTGTCACCCTTCAGTGTCACCTCTCAGTGCCACCCCACAGTGTCACCCTCCAGCACAGCGTCACCCTAAAGTGTCACCTATCATTGTCACCCCTCGATGGTGCCCCACCAGTGCCACCCCTTGGTGTCACCCTCGATATCACCCTCGGTGTCACCCTCAATGTCACCCTCGGTGTCACCCCGCCACCCACGGAGCCCATGGGGTCACTCTGGGATGGGCCGAGGGTGGCTGTGACTGTCCCTGCTGGTGTCACCTCCCGGGCCACCCACGGTGACGGTGGGGGAACCCGAGGGGGTCCCAGGGGGGTCCCAGGAGAGTCCCGGGGGGGGTCCCAGGGGGGTCCCAGAGTGGGAGGGGGGTTCCAGGGTGGGGTGTCCCAGGGGGGTCCCAGGGGGATCCCAAGGGGGCCCAGAG